ATAACAGCAGTCAAACAAAGGAAAGACTGAAATTGTTATATTTACAAGGGAATTAAAAAGAAAAAATTACTATACATAATCATAGGAATAATTTTTTTTTCCCGATTCGGTCACTCTCTGTGACGTTTTCTCTATTTTCGTTAGGGTTATGATTTTCATATTCATCATTTTCACTATCGCTGCCCTCTGAATTTGACGTACTTTCGGGACTGGACACGAGACCGCTTGTGCCAACTTCTGCACCACTTTCGACACCTGGTCTACTTTAACATATATCGGCGTTCCTTTGCTAACTGTTGGAATAGGAAGGTTTTCAAACAAATATTTGGTTAACTTACGTACCATGCGCGCATACGAATTCGGATGAATTTTGACTCATTTCTACGGAGCCCCTAAAGGGACATGGTTAGCAACGATATTAAATTATTTCGAGGGAACGAAATAGCTATTTCGAGGGAACGAAATATTATTTCGAGGGAACGAAATATTATTTAGAGGGAACGAAACCTCGAAATATTTTAATATTTTTTTTAACCATGTGCTATGTAACTGTTTCTTTATGTTCCTTTCTATTTATTAATAATGTGCATTCCCCAGTTGCAATAATATTTTCAGGTCGAATAATGTTTGTTATACATAGTTCCTCTTCTTTGCAGTATGCTCGGTTATTGTCAGCTGGCATTTGATCGGCCTTTAGAAACACTGTCTACCTTTTCCGTGTTTTAACCGTTCCTTTGCTTACCAATGGTTACCATTAGCAACTGGCCATAACCATACAGGCGGAAAATTTTAAATCGTAGGCTGATACTATATGGAAATGTATTTCGTCTGAGTATTTGATTACCGTGAACATACTCGTAGATCAGATATGGATCTTATGTTCTCTATTTAATTGGTAAATAAAGCTGTGTTACTCGATTGTATTTTCACTGTATATTTTCCAGTAAATATTATTGATGTTTTCGTAGAGCTGAAGTTGGTTATCACCTTAGTCTATAGACCAGCGCCCCCTGAATTATTTTTGGACTCCAGTAGGCAAAAAAAAAAAAAAAAAAAAAAAAAAAACACATTTTATTGCCCAATGAAAAGCCTTACTGATTCAAAATCTTACAAATCCAGTTTTTTTTTTTCTTTTTTTTTTTCGCAAAATATATTTTCCTCCAAGAGGAACCTATACTTCCCGTATGGGTTGACTCATTGATTGATTGATCAAAATATAATTTGTTTTTTCTTCCAAAGTATAATATTACCAAAACAGGCATTCCCACTGGTGGACTTGATTGGATCGCAGCTAAACAAATATATGCCAGATCCATACGCAGGTGAAATACGAGGCATCGCGAACTGGCTTGACATCAGCGTAGGAGAAATATTCGCAATGAACCTTATTTATGAAGCAACTGCGTAAGTGTTCAAACAGTCTTGTGAACAATAACTGAATACCAAGTGCTTTATTTTTTTTTCCACCTTGACATTATCAGCATCTTAAATTTGGCGAATCACATAGCCGATCGGTTAAAAGGGGTGCTGCTATAAAATATACATCAGTGCTGATTCAAACCATTCCTAGCCCAGTGTTAGCCTTCTCGGACAATGACTTAAAACCGGAGGTCCGGTGTACACATCTGGCTCATATGCACTAAAAAGAACCCATAAATCTTTCTTGTCTTTGAGAATTGGCCAGTGATGTTTTGATTGTGACAAAACATATGTTGCCAGAATTTCCTTGACCCTGCGATACAAAACTCTAAAATTGGTTCTAAACAGTTTCTGTTCTTTTCAGTTTCTGTACAAGTATTATAGCAGTTAACCATAATAATATGGTGTGGCATGGCCGAAATTTGGATTACAGTCATTTCTCAGATATTCTACGAAATACAACAGTCGTTTTGAATTTTCAAAGGAACAATCATGTAAGTGAAACAAACTTTTTGATGATTTTTTGTGTTGTTTTAATATTATTAATATTGTTATTGCTGTTATTGCAGTTGATGCAGTATTATTGTTATTGTGGTTTTAGGTAATGTTGATGTTGCTAATGATGTCTTCGCCACTGTTAGCAATAATTAGTAATTATTCTATAGGCCTATGTTGTTATTTAATTACATTGGAAGTTTTAAAAGCGTTGCCAGCTGTCATATGACAATAGGCCTTTTTTCTCTCAATTACCATGCATTTTTAATTAATGACTAATTTTATTAATATTTTGTAGTTTTATATAATGATTATATTTGTTTTTCACTTGGCTGAATTTAGACTGTGTTCACAAGCACATCTTTCGTTGCCAACGTTGGTATACACACCGGGATGAAACCAAATGTTTTCACAGTTTCCATCAATGAGAGAAGTACTGTAATAATATGCCCAACTTGCCTTCTAAACTTTTAGTATTTTGTAGGTTTGAATAAATCACAATATTCTGATATAAATATTAGTTTAAATATTTGTTAATGATTAGGCGGCATGAGAATCGTATACTGTAGGCTACTGCTGAGGGAAAACTATATACACTGTATATATAGGCCTATATATATATATATGTATATATAATATATATATATATAATATATATATCACCATAAACCCACGTGTGTTCTTGAAATTATATAAAAGGCGTTGAAACAACGAAATTACAGCAACGAGTCATGTGGGCTATTATGAACACTAGTTTACTTTAAAAAAAAGTTTCGACCAGTCCTTTGGTTCTTTGATTTACTTTT